TTATGAAAATCTTCATCCGGTTCTGGAAGTGATAGGCTTTCAAACATTATAGTATCTTTATTTGTTTTAATATTTGCCACAATAAGAATGCTGTTGCGTTTAATACAACCACGATGACTGGATTTTTCAACTAATAATGTTTCGTGTCTTTTCGATTAGTAATTGATCTATAATTCTTTAATAGAGAATTGAACAGATAGATAATGAATAAAAAATTGTCGCTACTACGACAGTTAAAAATCAAGCTAAAATCTTCAGTCACCTGATATCACTGATTTTCTGTCTATACTTTTTACCATGGATAAGCTTAGTACTACGTAGGTCTATCGATCAGATTGTGGATACTCACTTGGCAAATGAATTGAGAGTGATATCACTTCTCTGTTCAATAAAAAAAAATGAAATTATTGGAAAGATGTCAGATAAATGTATAATATAAGAAAAAGAAAAGAAAAAGAACGAAAATAAAAAAATACCAGAGGAAAAAATAGAATATTATTTTCTGCAGAGAGAATTTCTTTCTCTTATATGTTGCTTTTCGATATTTGGACGAGAAAAAGATTTTTAAGAAAATATAAAGTTTACTTTTTTCTTTTCAACTATTCTTAGTGGAAGAACATAACAGAAAATGTAACAAGATTTTTCTTGAATAAAGTCTGCTTTTTCTCCCAAAGAACATAAAGAGAAAAAACAATAGGAATTTTCTTTAGAAAAGAACGGTTAAGAAAAAGAGAAAAACAACTGTTTTTTCTGTCTAATCTAAAGCCTCAAAGGAAAGACTCCTTTATTTCTTACATGCGTTTGTTTAGGTTTGTTAATCCTGAGCTTATAATAAACAGACTCTAAATAGTTTCTTTGGACATATCGAACCTTAAATTCTAAGGAACATTTAGTTCTTCAACATATTGTTTTTGAAACTAACTAAAGGAGACTCTTTGTTTATATGCCATCGTTTTTTGTAACTATGAACCCCTGACACAGAGTCGAATCTGTAGCTAAGAGGAAACCAATGGATCCGTACTCTTCTCTGATTGATAATAGATGACGAAAGCCTAAGATGGGAAAAAATTGAAAAGTAAAAACGCCTTCCTTATCTTACGGCACTCTCACTCTTGAAATAACCTTGTGATATGTCCGCACAGAGTCCTACTCTTTTCCAGATTGATATATTGATGAGAAGGAGATGATGACCGACATAACTAGTTTTAAAATTAGATATGATTTGAATATCTGAATTCTTACCTATGCTTTAGTTCCATCATGCTTGGGTTGGTCATCTGTGTTACGTCGTGATTCACCATCTCGTTTCGTTCTACTATTTTGTGGTTTGGAATCTGGTCATGTAGCTATTTGGCAATTATCCGAACAACAACAAACGAATAATTTAACTCTAACTTATGCAGCACTTCTCGAACCAAATGCCACAGAAACAAACTGTAACAATAATAACAATTCACAACAACAATCTTCGGGAGGAAAGCAAAAAATGTCAAACTCTCATTCACCTCCGACTCTCAACGGAAATCATTATTCGAACAAAACATCATCACTATCTGCTCTTCAACAACAACAATCACTACCGCCAACAAGCCATAATTCAATATCAGCCATGGCATGGCTATCACTATCAGATACAGCCGGTATACTAGGTATGTAGAGATTCAACTATTATAGAAGAATCGTATCTTATCTATTATATTTTCATTATAGCCTTGGGTTCGTCACACGGCCATGTTAGTCTAATATCAATATCTCTCACTGGAAATGAATCTGCTCCATTGTTAGCTTACACAAAACAAGAGTCTCCACATTTAGTGTCAAATGGTGCTCGTATTCATCATATTGCCTTGTATCAACAACATGGTGAATATAAATTATTTTTTGCCCAAATGGACTCGATTGTTATCGCCACTCTTAATATAACATCAACTGGATATAATTCTTCCTGTTCACAATTTACAATAAAAACTGTTAATGAATATGCTTTAAATTCATCAGTTCTAACACATTTCTTAAATGATCAACAAGATCTATTTTTAATATGTAGAGATGGTTATATCCATCGACAAACTATTTTACAAGAAACACAACATCAACACCATGGACAACAGGCAACAAGGTTTGAACAATACTGTCAACTGACACCAAATGGTAGGTAGTGGTAGACAAGAAGTCATACAAAATTTAACTTTTTTAATTAAAATATCTAGTATACGATCAAATAGTAGCTTGTATACTCTCTATTTTCTGTTAATCTATCTGATATAACTTTTTCTTGTTATCGTTATTATTCTACAAGTAGAAGCAGGAAAAGTATAGAATGAAATAAACAATACATTCTTAGCTTTTACAATATTAACTTGGATAGTGCAAAAAAAAGCTTTCTGTTAACTTTCTTTTCTTTAATTTAGGTAATGATTGTCAGGCAGCTGGGATAACACCCACTCATTGTACTGTAATCACAATGAAACGTTCAGAAGCAATATTAACATTGAGTGTTTATTCTCTTAAAGATGTTTCGTCCACCATCACATTCTTCCTATCAAATCCATTACCATCATTTCGTTTGAACGATGTTTTGGCAGCTCTACGTGTTCTACTCTATTCGGATAAATCGAATGCATTAACTGATCTAATTATGTCTGTGGCAGATTGTGCTGATCAAGCATCGGTTTCATTATTAAAAAAAGTACATTCATTATGTCGACTGTTACTGTCTTATCATAACAGTGGCGTGGGAAACGGTCTAAGACAAGCACCGTATATGCTGTTTCTAGGTAAATAAAAACTAAAATGAACTATTATGAAAACGAAACAGTATCTTTATTCTATCGGTTTTAGCTGACGTATTTGCCCAAATGATATCAATTGATTTAATTAAAAAGTTGTATGATTTTGTGCAAAAAAATGCTGAAGGTTATTTACAACAGTTAACACCCATAGAAAAATCAATATTATACTGGTGTGAACAACTATTGCAATATTCCACACAACAATTACAGGCAAATCAACAAAATTCAACAGGCGGAACGAATACAAGTATTAATCAACAATTTGGAACACTTCTAGGTATGTTCTCAAATTAGAATTTTTAATAAAGGAAAATCAAAAAGCTAAGACAAAGTTATATCATTTGAAATATAATTTTAATCGAATACCTTTTTTTCTTATTTTAGCTATGGCTAATCCGAATATGACATCGAGTCCAACAACAGCAGCTGCTAATGGAACGGCTGTCGTACCGTCGACTACATCTGGCCAGTATTCATCATTAGTCAATGTCCAAACATGTGATGTGAAATATTTACAGTGTCCTATCTGTAATGGTCAACTTTTAATTCGAACATTTTTTGATTTGAGCTGTACGAATGGACACGAATTTCAACGTTGTAATAAAACATTTTTACCTATTTATGTTCAAGATCGCGCAAAACGATGTACATTATGTAATTTCTATATAACCGATGGAACAACAGACGAATTTCAATTAACTACATTAACCAAGATTCTCGGAGGATTCACATGTACATTTTGTGGATAGAAAAATATCATTTTGTATGTAATATCCTTTTCCTCCTTTTGTAATCCCAAGAATGATGAAAACGACCCTTGATCATCCAATCCTTCCAACTCCGCCACAAAAGTGACTATTATTTATCTTGTATTGGAGTTTTCTCTTTTTCGTTTCTATAAAAGAAGAAACTCTTTTTTTTCTGGGTTTATTCTATCGTTTCTTCCTTTTATACCATTTAAAAAACCTTTGGTCACACATCACCTGTTATCATTTCTTTTCTGCTCATCTGTTACAACCACTTTGTTTCTGAACAAAAAGATAGAGAAAAAAAAACAAAAATTTCGCCGTTGTTTTTCTTTTTTGTTCTTTATATTCTTTTTATTTGGGTAAAATGTTTTTGTCTTTGTGTAATGATGAATTTTGCTGTTGATTTTTTTTTCTTTTCTTTCTTGTGACACATACACACACATATATATATATATATACACATATACATATATAAGGTGTTTTTTTGTTTTGTTCTATTCTAGTTCTATCTACATCTGTACATTGTGTTATTCTCTTTTTGCTACTTAAATGTGACTTTTGTGTTTACAATAGAAAAGAAACACCGAAGTTTTTTGTGCAAGAAAAACGCCAACAACAGTGAAATAGTCGAGCGTCACAAATGATAAACTTTCATAAAATTTGTTTTTGTGAACGTATTCGTAGCATAAATAGGAAGGACTAAACATCCCTTTTTTTTCTTTAACAGTTGTTTTGAAAGTGATTAAACGTTTGCAAGATAGAGTTCGAAAAACAACAGTTGTTTTTTCGATATTTTACTTGAATTTTTTGGACAGTTTTACGTTCGGAAAGGCTGGTCTTTCCCTTCTAAGTTCCCTTCATATCATAATTTTACATATTCTTCTGGTAAGTTTCAAAAACACTATCCTTTTCGTTTATTTTTTGTCTGAAAATGTGAATTGTCTATTTATTTAGACAAAGACCTGCACAACGTGGCTTTTGTTTTTTCATATATCATAATTTCGTTTGGTTCTCATTCAAGGCTCATATACATATATTTTTTTGATTTTTTTTTGCTTGTGTGATCATCTTAATCTTTTGTTCGCTAAAAGAAAAGGAATATGTTGTTTTTATTGTAGCATAGGACAGTTTAGTTTCGTTGTATCTGCAATTTATGCTTGCAGTTTAAAAACAGAAACTTTAGACAAAATCTTGTAAAATAAAGTTGCATTTTGTTTTGTTTGTGTATGTTATATATTATATATAAAGACATTTTGTTTTCTTTTTTTGGTTGCTTTTATCATTTATTATCATCACGATGAAACGAAATATGTTAAAAAAATAAAAATAAGAATAGATTCATTGTTAAGATTGATGATACACCTTATCTTATTTAATAACAGTCGCCTATTATTGATCCACCATATTGGCTGCATTTACTTGCCACTGTTTACCTTCTTCAGGTACTTTTTCTACTTTAATGGGTAATCAACAACCTCCCGGTCGTACTCGAAGTGATACATATACACGATATGAACGAGATGGTGAAGACGGGCGTTACGTTACATTAGAGGCGGATGACGCGAAGTCACATGAGGAAAGAGTGAGTTTTCAAACAAATGAACAAATGTTATAGTATAATAGTGAGTTTATGTGTCTTGCTCAGATTTTATCTCGCCATGATCCCAGTCTGTTACTACGTCCTCGTAATTCAAATCGTGAAAAAGAAAAAAAAACAATTCCTGTTGTATTTCGTTATCCAGCTTCTCCAAAAGACAAAGAAGCACAATTAATCGGATCATTTACAAATTGGAAAGAACTTGTCCAAATGGTCAAAAGGTATGAGAGATGGGTTAAATTGAGTGTTTATACACTTCTTTTTATACTATTTAGTGATAACGATTTTGTTACCATTGTTGAACTACCAGAAGGAAAGCATCAATATAAATTTATTATTGATGGACGATGGGAATACGACTCGTCAGAGTTATGTTACTACACGTGTTGCACTCATCTCGACTTTGAATTATTATTTTTTCTTTCTTAACTTTAGCTTTCTGTTGATGATGGTCATTCTAGTCGTAATAATGTGATAACAGTTAAAAAAAGTGATTTTGAAGTGATGGAAGCTTTACGTATAGATTCAATCCATACGAATAATCAAAATCAAAATACATCAAATTCGACAAATAAATCTCAATGTGAGTAGAAAATAGGGTGCAATGCTAGAGTTCTCTTTTGTGGAACTCCTTCGAATAGTTTCTGAAGAAAGGAGAAATCTAAGTTACATACTCAGAATCCTAGCGGGGTTACCTCATTCCTCCCTTCCCCTTCCCTTGTAGTTATAATCTTAATTAAATTAATAACAATGACTGTGCTTATGATCGTACGTTTATCTACCCCAGTTCATAAGTCAATCTACCCAACTATAACCTTAGAGCTCCTATGCATAATCTTAAAATCGTTCTCGGTATGTGTTTATGATCTTTAAATCATTCACGGTCTTATTTATGATTTTATAGATTCTTATTATGACCTTAAAACTGTTTCAGAGCTCATAGTCATTATCTTTTTGCTCAGGGACCATATCCATGTCGTCGTTTTTTATTGAAAACTGACGGTTAACCGCGATTATCGAAATAACTGTTGGCTACCGCTAGTCCACCAGACGAATCGACGTGTATTTCAATAACCGCAGTCCGTGTAAAAAGCCGTTGATTATCGGTTGATCTTCTTTTTTATCGGAGTTCATTCATCGTTTCATCATTTTTTAATTACTGATTACAAAAACGAACTAAAAAATTAACAATTGGGAGGAGTTTCACATTTAAACCCCAAATGGGGCTTCTTTGACAAGATTTTTATTTCTTTATTTAAGCTACGGATATGGATCTAGCTCGTTCTCCACCCGGTACTTATGATCAAATTTGGCCACCACCAAATAAAGATGAATTTTCTCCTCATGATAAACCACCATTGTTACCACCACATTTACTACACATTATTCTCAATAAAGATACATCAGCACACGTAAGCAACGAGCACGTATCAGCTATAGACGAAAAAAACGTCTGCATTCTTTTTGCCATTGATTGTTCGAATAACTCTTATAATTCTGTGTGATACTAAGTAGCCTAATTGAGTACAATTTGTAACCATAGCATTAATGAATAAAGTTTAAACTAAACTAACTATATCATTCCTACGCGTATCCTAGATATTCTAAAATAGTTAAAATATTTTTAAATTTGCGTTGTGTTCTGTTTCAGTGTGAACCAGCTTTATTACCTGAGCCAAATCATGTCATGTTAAAACATTTATATGCATTATCGATCAGAGATGGAGTAATGGTACTTTCTACTACCACTCGTTATAAACAAAAATATGTGACAACTTGTTTTTATAAACCAACTGAAAAATAAATAATTAAAATTGTTTAATTTCTGTAAATATCCCTGATGGATTTTATGAACGATTTACGTATTAACAAGCAGCAGATCCCGTAATTTGTTAATAGTTGCCGATTTTTGTTATTTTATATGTGGATTTTCGGTGTGTTATTCATTCAATTCTATTAGTATTCACCGTTTTTTTTATCACGTTTTTTGTACAATTCTGTATATGTATATTCTTTTTAAAAAATATTTCGTTTTTTATATATTGTGATACGTAAATTTGTTTTTTTGTCATTCTTATTGAATATGATGGTAATAATTTATAAAATATTATTCGGATAGAGATAATTAACAATGTCAGTAATAAAGAAACAAGGTAGCAACAATTTTTAATTTTATAGAATTATATGCGAAATTATTGTTTATATTATAATTGAACATCTGCAAATTTTTGTCGTTTTATGGATCGAAACATCATACCGCAAGATAAGAAATATCATATCGATAGTAATCCATTGGATGGTGATTATTTTCCTTAAAACTTTATCATAATAACGATAATTCTGTTGTATAGATTGTTTGTTTTATCAATTTTCAGAGCCGTACTGATTTTTACCACTATTTATGAACTTATTTAAACTGTAACCTACTTATCTATATAACAATCGAGTGGACGTGGATATTTCTTGAATAACTTGAGAACAAAACGCAATAAAAAGACTTACAATTTTTGCTATTTGAATAGAGAAAGTCTGAGACTATATTTTTATTAAAAGTATATCTCATAAATCGTTTCTTAATCAAGTTTTGACAAGGTCTCTGAAAAACCAGTTCGAATCTTCAAAAATTGAAATGATCGTATTTTTGATTATTTATTTATGAATAAACAGTTTCAAATGTCCTCTTCAAAATGGAAGCTAATCGAAACGTTGGATTTTTAATAGTTTAGATGAAGCAGTTTGGATTTTTTAACAGCCTTAATCTCATAATTCTGATCAAAGATAATCTTAAAAATACATGTCACATGTGTAGTTGACAATTCTGAATCTTATGGCAATACTTTTTTCACGAAAAAAAACCATCCTAAAATCTAGTGAAATTCAAGTTTTACTAAAAATAAGCGATTTTTATCATCATTTTTATCTAACAATCGAGTGTCGTAACATTAAATCGATTTAGAGTCAATAAGTTAGAAAACACTAATCGTTTCACAAAAGCAATATCCATGTCGTAATTCACTCAAAATTGCTCTGAATGTTTTGAAAAAAAAATATATCAACATATAATTCATTTTCAATGTCTAGCATAATTAAAAATTCTAAAAAACTTTTCTGGAAACTCTACTATGATACTGACAGTTTTATTAAAACATTAATAATTTTTGAAAATAGAGAATGTTCTAGAACAGCTAAAATTCTTAGATTATTTTTAATAGCAAAATCATACTGAGCATTGAAAATTAATTATATGTTGACAGTATTTTTTCAAATCATTTCGATTAATTTTCAGTGAGTTATGACTCTCGATTGTTAGATAAAAATGATGATAAAAATCGCTTATTTTTAGTAAAAATTTGATTTTTATTAGAATTTGGAATTTTGTTTTCGTGAAAAAAACCATTCCCATAAGATTCAAGATTGTCAGTTAGACAATAAAATATTTTTTTTTTAAAGAGTGAATCCTTTCCTACAAGGACTATCAACAATTTTCTTTCGATATTGTTACTATCTAGTTAGTAGTACAATGATGTCATATAATGTATGTTAAGTAAAATTCCGGTATTTTTTCTTTTTTTTTGTTTCAACGAAAGTGAACAATTTTTATTAAGGACGAATTTTAATTGTTTGACTTATAAATAAAAATAGAAAAAATTTATGATATTAAACTTTTTAGTTAAATGAACGAGAATCAAATTTAGAAAGAAATGAATGCCATTCTATAACTCTTTATCTCTTCTTGATCAGCAATGCTATAACATACATAAAAATTTTATATAAAAACTATATCGAATAATGATATAATTCTACTCTTGTAATATTATTTTTATGTAAAACATGTTTTCCATAAACATACAAAATACTAATTTAAACTCGTTTATTCCCAAACGAACAACTCTATCGTCTATCTTTCGAATAATATAATTGATCTTCTATATTCATTGTTTTTCTAAAGAACATAGGTAAACATTAAATAAAAAAGAAAACCTAAATGTAAATATACCGTTCCCATCTCTTTCTCTCTCTCTCTCTCTCTCACCTTCTCTATTCCATATATACCTAATTATATTCTCTACATTACACTACACTACAGATTGAGGTTTTATGTATATTATATTCATTCATATTCGATATTTAATCGAAAATTTTTTTCCTCTTTTTTTGTGTACATAGTATGCCTCTTCCCGATTTTCTCTCTCTCTCTCTCTCTCTCTTTTCTAGTTCTCTATGTACAACTTTTGAATATGCCTTGATAGATGTGTATATTAAAAAAAATTTCTATAAATTGAAAATTAAGACATCTGTTCTGCTAAAAAGAAGAAATATTGAACATTAAATATAATAAAAACACACACATCATCATTATCATCATCATCATCATGACCGAACTGAATGAGTCAAAATGAACCAAATTTTTTTCTTCTTCTGCTTTTCTTCCATCATTATTGCCAGGCAACTAGTTTAAGGTCTGCATATTACAGAGAGCAAGAGAGAGAGAGAGAGAGAGAGAGAGAGAGAGAGAGAGTCTGCATATTATTTATTATGATCATTATCATATTTTTGAACATAGAATAAGACGAGAGAAAGAGAAAAGAAACCCTGTATATGTATGTGTGCTGAAGATTAGAATTGAACAAACTATGAAATGATATAGAAAGCAAAGAGAAGACTAAATATATATAAAGAAGGAGAAGAAGAAGAAAAATTATATGTTGGTCATCGAGAATAATAAAAAATATTTTTTTTTGTACAATCATACTACATATAGAAGCGTACCTACCCTCCCACACACACACATTTGATTAGGATAACAAAAAAAAAATTTTAAAAAATGCAAGCTCAGACAGAATTTAATATTTATGTCATAAACTGAAAAAAAAAATAAAAAAGAAACAAATTTAGGTATGTACCACGAATTGTATGAAAATATTATTTGTTTAATGGTAAACGTATCATCGAACAGATTAAAAATATGACAGATGTCTGGCAAATCTTCTAATTCTTCTATTTATAAGTAAAAATCTCAATCTTTTTTTATCATTCTGTTATTTTTAATACTTCAGATCGTTATTTTTCTCCAAAATTTTTATATTTTTTTAGTTTTGGATAATGTGAGGAAAAATTTTTGATACAAGGGAAAAACACTCAGTTCTGTTCACTAACAAAAAAATCCAAAAACTGATTTGAACAGTATACTAAGATTACAATTGATATCGTCTACTTCATTGTATATAAGAAAATCTGTTGATAGTCTCTTTAGTCACTGTTATTTGCACATATAAAAGAGAAGAAAAAAAAAACACAGTGCACTATTTACTGGTTAAACTATATATATATTATTTATCCTTGAAATAATTAGAATATAATTTGTTATTATAGATGTCTGTCATTATAAACGGTAATTTTTCTTTTTCTTTATTTAATTGATATAAAAAACATAATTTATATCGATAAAAGGTTATAGAAAGGTGTACACATAGAGAAACAAAAAAAAGAAAAAAAAAATTATTAAAATAAAGACAATACATTGTTTTCGATGAGTTAAGCACGTTTCTCTATGTAAGAAAAATAAATATTACTTTTTATTTTCGTACATATGTAAATATAATCGTTGTCTAGATTTGTTTCATATCAAAATGTGTAATTTTCCCGATGTGATGATATTGTCTACTAAGAAATTTATTTTTATTTATTTTTTTTTTTGTTTTCCCCGCAGAGAATGACTTGGGTATACTGTTCACAAGTCCGTCTCATTCTGCTCAACTGTCCGTTCAATCTCATTAATAATCTGTCTATGTGACGTGAATTATTATTTTATGCCTTGTGTCTGTTGACTTTCTCTACTATACAAGTGAATACACACTATCTCTTTCTCTCTCTCTCTCTCTCTCTCTCTCTTTCTCATAAAATGAAAAAACCTTCAACGCGCAGAAATAGAAGAACAAGAACAACCCAATATAGTTTTATTAGAAAGCATACATATGTTTCACTAGCTATGAACATGTAGAGAAATATCATTGAAACATTCAGTCCAACAAAATATAGAGAAGAGATCGCTGATAAATTAATAATTAGAAATATATGTCGAAATACACATACATATTCACTTGTTCAACCCAAAAATGTTTTTCATCAATAAAATTAATGTTCTTTTTTTCTTTCACATTAAACTTTTCAAAATAGTTTCATTTTAAAATTTTCTAGTTCACTAAAAGTTGTACCTTCAATAGATTATTATTTTTTGCTATTTTTCTACAATTTAATTTTCACAATAGACTATCTAACTTTTCTTCCTTTTTATGTTTTCTAATAGAACATGTTTTAGCGTAAGAAACAGAGTGACAAAAAAGAAAATATAGTTTTATTCTTAATAAAACGAAATATTTTTAGCGTAGGAGAAGAAGAAAATGTAATTGTAATGTTTAATTTGATTTTTTGACAGTTAAGTCATTTGATGAACAGTGACTTGTGAAGTTTCTTAATAATGGTCGGAAAATTTGATGTTGTTAGTTTTTTTACATATAAATCCGACGAATATCACTAAAATTAGTTCGATGGGAAATAAAGTCTCGTCTCCTGTAGTAGAATCTAACTAACAATTTGATAATAATTACATAGTAATGAGTTACTATTTTGTAAAATGTACAGGTCTAATATCGTGTACTGATTCGAACAGTATCATAACAGAAGAACATATTTTTATGGTTTATTCACTCTTCGCAATTGAGTTACTTTTTATAAAAACCAATGAGAATGAGTTTATCTTCAAAAGTGAATTTCAGCGGTTTTTAACACATTTTTAATTTTTAA